GCTGTGTGTCTGCCTGTCCATTGCTTGTTTTCTAGTCCAGAGTTGCTCATGAACCATCTGGTAACACACAATCACTATCTACAAAAAAACCCGTATGCACTTTTGTGGATTTTTTGGGTTTTCCTAGGAATTTACATATGTATAATTGTATTTCGTATGTGTTCCTGTGAGATAGAGACAGATGAGAGAGAGATAGGGACAGCTAATCAGCCGCCAGGTGGCAGCCGCCCGCCAAAAAAATTTCAGTTCCAGAATTGTTGTTAAATTAGACACAGTGCAACTCTTTGGGGATTTTATGAGGAAAAATTTCGCCACAAGTGGGGTTCGTCAGTCCCTACAAAGGAAAAATTTAAGAACGGAAAGGGGGAATGAGGTAAACAATCCCCCAACCTTTAGTTGATGTGGTCAGTCCTCAATTTGAATAGAATACGCATATGAGCGGGGGAAGCTGTTATAAACCGCTGGCAGGAGAGGTGCAGCAGTCGTGGTGGGGTCACATTGTCCAAGTGGAAGTAGGTCGTGCCCCAAGGGGTTTGGCAAAACGAAAAAATCCCAAGTATTAAGATCCCCAAGAAGTTGCAGTGTCTAACAGGATTGTAGATGAATGGTTCAAAGAACCGACACGTTAAATTAGACACATGTGCAACTCTTGGGTATCTTTATTGAGGAAACGTTTCACCACACAGTGGCTTCATCAGTCCATACAAAGGATAAACTTGACTGATGAAGCCACTGTGTGGCGAAACGTTTCCTCAATAAAGATACCCTAGAGTTGCACATGTGTCTAATTTAACAACGTATCGGTTCTTTGAACCATTCATCTACAATCCTGTTAGACACTGCAACTTCTTGAGTTGCACATTAATTTCAAAATAGGTCCAGAATGAACAATGCAGACATTCCTGGCTCTAAAATAACATTTTCTTTGTTCATCAGTCACATCTCCAGGCCCCTCTGATATTACTCTTGCTTTCTATTTTGAATTTTTATTCAAAAAAAAAAAATAGAAGATTTAATGTTATGCAGACTACTGCAATATTGTAATAATTGTATAAATAATGTCAACCCATTCATGACTGCATATTAGAATGGCTAGTTGGACAATGACATCATTTGTTTACTTTTGAACATCGGCAAAAATCAAACATTTCCCCTAATTTGAGCTCCATTTCAGGGTTCTTTTCATAGTAAAACCAATCAAAATCACCCCTATTTCTTTAATATGTTTTCCATTCTATCAAATGAGACCAAGACAACGAGAATACAACCATAATTACTATACGAAAATACACCACAAATTTGATGTTTTAATCCCCAAAAAGCCGTTTTTTTTTTCTCATTATGCACTGCGTGCTGCAGGATTTTTTTTATGTGGTGCACACTGACCACACAGACCCATTCTCTCAGATGTCGGCCTACCAGCTTTCTCCTGCTTGATTTGAAGCCGCTAGAATTTATGATTATACATCAAACACAGTGGCTCGTAAGAAGTATATATACGACTGAAACAGTCAAAGGGTTAAGACCCATTGTGTGCTGACCAGTCATCTTAGGCCAATCGTGCCAAATTTGGAGGCAGGAAAAATAAAACGTAGATCTAAGTTTGGAGCGCTAGAGGTAAGAACATAGATCTGCGTTTGGACAGTTAAAGGGTTAAGAGGCTTTCTGCATGCACACCTAAATATCGTTCTCATTTGTATAAACGTTGTATCATGCTGAAATAAAGTATTATTATTATTACTATTTAGGCTATCCCATTAAGTGATGCAGACTTAGTAAAAACCCATAAAACAAACTTAAGAAAGGAGGGGCCTGCACTTCCTCAGAAGAATTGCAAAAAGTCAGATATTTCTGCTACTTTGAACCCTATTTCATGCTTCTTCCATCCTGCAGCTGACCAGAATCAACTTTTATTTCATTGGTATGTTTTTTATACAGTGGACCTTCAGTTATCAGCCGTAATCCGTTCCGGAAGGTCGGCCTAAGACCAAAATGGCCGAAAACCAAAATAATATTTGCCTTAAGAATTAATGGAAATACAATTAATCTGTTTCAGACAAAAATATTCACAAAAAAATAATTTTTTTTTAACAATTATATAAGTATTACATACCTTTATTGAAGGCTAATGCTGGCTCACGAAATCGTAATGACACGATTGCAAACAAACCATACCCCGGCCGGGATTGAACCCGCGGTCAGAGAGTCTCAAAACTCCAGACCGTCGCGTTAGCCACTAGACCAGCTAGCCACAATAAGATTCGTCCAACTAGGTAGATTTCTACACCATAGGAAGGTTAGCATAGGCACCACTGTGACCACAAATGCAAGTTTTTACAGACGAATCTCCAGCTAGCGTGGCCGTGACGAACTCTAGCTCAAGTCCCCTCACTGCTGGCTTCTGGAAGATAGGGAGGAGGAAAGACGGAGTTAGTGTTTGGAAGGGGAATCTCCCTCCATAAAAACTTTAGGTACCAAAGCCTTCTCTTGGGTTAGTTCCCTTCTTTGTCTTTTAATGCCACTAGGACCAGCTTGAGAGTCACTGGACCCCTGTCACACAAAATTACTGTCAAGAATGCTTTGTTTCTGGCATCTCTTTAAGATTTCCCTGAAGTGGGACAGGGTTTTGTCACTGAACATGTTGCAGATATGGCTTGGTCAGGGTGCACCCTAGTCCACATTGCACACACCTCTTTAATCTCTGAAGAAGGCACCTCCTTCACTCCCTCTTCCTCCTCCTCTGAAGCAAGTTCCTCAGCTGCAGTTTGTTGCTGCTGGAGTTGAAGCTCTTGCAGCTCTTCAGTGGTTAGCTCTTCCCTGTGGTCCTGCACCTACTCTTCCACATCCTCGCCACTCACCTCCAACCCCATGGACTTCCCCAGTGCCATAATAGAATCCACAGGGTCAGCAAGGTCAGGATCAGTCTCAAACCCTTCAAAATCCCACTCTTGGACACAACCTGGTCATAATCTTCTCCAAGCAGAGTTCAAAGTCTTGGAAGTCACTCCCTCCCAAGCCTTACCTATAAAGCTTATGCAATTGAGGATAGTGAAGTGATCTTTCCAGAACTCTCTTAGGGTCATCTGAGTGTCCTAGGTCACTTCAAAGCACTTTTCAAATACTGCTTTTGTGTAGAGTTTTTTGAAGTTAGAAATGACCTGCTGGTCCATGGGCTGGAGGAGAGGAGTGGTGTTAGGAGGCAAGAACTTCACTCTTATAAAATTGAAATCCTGAAGCACTTGGTCTACCAAGTCTAGAGGATGTGCAGGAGCATTGTCCAGTACCAGGAGGCACTTGGGTGGGAGTTTCTGTTCCAGGATGTATTTTTTCACACCTGGGCCAAACACATCATTAACCCACTCTTTGAAAATTTGCCTTGTGACCCATGCATTTTGATTAGTTTTTCACATCACACACAATCTATTCCTGACGACATTGTTTCTCTTGAACACTGGGATTTTCTGAGTGATACACCAGTAGAGGCTTCACTTCGAAATCGCCACTAGCATTACCACACAACAAAAGAGTAAGCCTGTCTTTCATAAGCTTGTGTCCTGGCAGTGCCTTTTCCTCCTGCGTGATGTAGGTACTGTTTGGCATTTTCTTCCAAAACAGGCCTGTTGGGGTTTAAATTGCTCAGCCTTTACATAGTCCTTGAACTCTTGTACATACTTTTCAGCTGCTTTTTTGTCAGAACTTGCAGCCTCTCCATGCCTTACAACACTGTGTATGCCACTACGCTTCTTAAATCTCTCAAACCAGCCTTTGCTGGTCCTAAATTCACTACCAGCAGCACTTGTTCCAGGAGTTTTCTGTGGAAGATCCTCATGTAACTGCTTTGCCTTCTCACAAATAATAGATTCCATTACACTGTCTCCCACTAATTGTTTTTCCATAACCCACAATAACAACAACATTTCCATCTGTTCCATTATTGGTGACCTTTGTTTCATTAGAAAAGTTACTCCTTTTGCACATTAGCATCCCTGGTTTGTTCTTTCTTTGCCAGAATGGATGTTATTGTTGATTTGCTTTTCCTGTACATCCTAGCAAGTTCCAGCACCCACATACCACTCTCATATTTATCAATTACTTCATGCTTAAATTCTGTGGTGTTTCTCACTTTCTTTACCACAGGAACTTTCTTTGGAGCCTTGGTTGCTTATTTTGCAGTTGCAATGCAAAAAAAAAAAAAATGGAAAATAAGCAAAATGTTTGGATGTATGAGCAGAAGCTTCCTCATGCACCAAGAGACACAGCCAAACTGACTGACACGCAAGCAGCCCCAGCCGGCAGACGGACACATCCGAAATGGCCAATCACTGAAATAACAGCCGATCACTGGGAGACAAAAAACCAGTTGATTACCGAGTTGGCTGATAACAGGAACGGCCGATCACTGGGAGCCAAAAAACCAGTTGATTACCGAGTTGGCTGATAACAGGAATGGCCGATAATCAAGGGGCCACTGTACTATCAACAGCTAATAAAATAATTTAAACCACCCTATAAAATGCCTCAAAGTCCTTATATTAAACCAAACACAAGATCAGAGAATAGCTGCTCCTGTTATTCACTGCATGGGGCAGGATTTTTTTATACTGTGTACACCCACAACACAGACCCATTCTTTCTCTTGTCTGGGGCAGAATTTACTCTTTACAGTACTGTAATTAAAATGTAGATGTACATGAGTGACACTGATACTAACATTAATACTGTGACTCTACATGGGAGACAGTGAAAGGGTTAAGGATTTTTCATGCACTAAGAAATTTTGGTTGCAGTATTATTATTATTATATATTTATGAGGAAGCAGTAAACCCCCTAGGGGTCATACAGTGCCTTGGAGGCAAGGAAGAGAAGGGCATGTGATTAAGATCCCTTCACTGGCACTGAGAAACCTCTCTTGAGGTGTAATAATCTACCAATCTCCACCTCTTCTCTCCTTAAGTCTTAATATGGTATTTCACAAGTACAGCCCATTTTTAATTTGCAGGATAGTGAGCCACTGCAACCTGGCTCTGACTTCATCAATAATGAAACAGTCCTCTTGAAAAACAAAAACCAGACATTGATGCTGAGGTACGTGTTTGAAGCTCATGTTGGACGCTACAGCTGTATGGCAGAAAACCGAAAGAACTCAATCGTTGGCTTTCTCACGCTTACCGTTCCTAGTAAGTCTTAAACATTTTTATGCAGAGTCAATGTTAATAATGCTTGTATGATGGTAAAAAGAAATTAACTTTCTATCTTTAAAAAATTATTAGAATAGATTTTTGTAATGTTATATAATATAATCAAACCATACCAAGGACAGGGATAGAACCCGCGATCAGAGAGTCTTAAAACTCCAGACCGTCGCGTTAGCCACTAGACCAGCTAGCCACAATAAGATTCATCCAACTAGGTATATTTCTACACCATAGGAAGATTAGCATAGGCACCACTGTGACCACAAATACAAGTTTTTACAGCTTTGAGGGGACTTGGGCTAGAGTTCGTCACGGCCACGCTAGCTGGAGATTCGTCTGTAAAACTTGCATTTGTGGTCACAGTGGTGCCTATGCTAACCTTCCTATGGTGTAGAAATATACCTAGTTGGACGAATCTTATTGTGGCTAGCTGGTCCAGTGGCTAACGCGACGGTCTGGAGTTTTGAGACTCTATGATCGCAGGTTCTATCCCCATCCATGGTATGGTTTGTTTGCAATCGTGTCATTACGATTTCGTGAGTCATGTTGACGGCTTTGAGGGGACTTGAGCTAGAGTTTGTCACGGCCACGCTAGCTGGAGATTCGTCTGTAAAAACTTGCATTTGTGGTCACAGTGGTGCCTATGCTAACCTTCCTATGGTGTAGAAATATACCTAGTTGGATGAATCTTATTGTGGCTAGCTGGTCCAGTGGCTAACGCGACGGTCTGGAGTTTTGAGACTCTCTGATCGTGGGATCTATCCCCGTCCGTGGTATGGTTTGTTTGCAATCGTGTCATTACGATTTTGTGAGTCAAGTTAACATAATGATATTAAAAGACAGTGTGGTATCACCAAGGGTGTAATTCAGAGCTGAGAAGGGATTGCTGAGGTGGTTTAGGCATTTAGAGAGGATAGAGAGCAAGAGAATGGCAGAGGGTGAATAAATCTGGGGTTGAGAGTACGAGGGGTAGGGGTCATCCCAGCAGCCTTGTGTGATCGTTTTTGATAGAAGTGAGTAGACAAAGGTGGCTTTTTAATGGATGTGCTGTTGAATTGAGAGAAACTAGTGAACCAGACTTGAGTCCTGGAGGTGGAAAGAGCAGTGCAAAGCATTGCACTCTAAAGGAAAGGTAGGGATGTTGCAGTCAGAAGTAATCTAAATTGTGATGTTAGCACAGTTAATGAAATATTTTTGTGTGTGAATCTGTGTGATTAAGTGTAATTTTAGTCATATACATATATACAGTACTGTACTTTTAATTTGGTAATTTTGTATTTTCCGCAGAAGCTGGGCTTAGCACTCCTGCCAAAATTTCACTGGTGCTTGCATGCTTAGGCATTATCATTTTAGTGGCAGTGGTCTTTGTGTTGTTCAAGAGAGTAAAAAAAGAAAGAAAATTCCGAAAATCTTTCCGTAAGAATGAATTATACTTATTTGAAAAAGGCAACATTTGTCAACTGAACCCTGACTGCACAGCTGATGAACAAGCAGAGTTGTTGCCATATGACCAAGAGTGGGAAGTTCCTCGAGAGGATATCAAAATTGGTGAGGCTGCTTTGTTTTTATGTTGCATTATTGGTAATACAGTGATAGAGTATGCTGATAGTATATACATAAGACACACAGTGTGAGTTATGATATTTCCTTTTAAGATATTTCATCTACTTGTGAATTGATAATGTCCCTGGTGGATAAAGCATCTTCACAATACAGCCTCTCCTCACTTAACAACGAGTTCCATTCCTAAGACCATGTCGGTAAATAAATTCATCGCTCAGTGAGGAGCATACTATAATGGCAGTGGGCTTGTGTCATCCATCTTTGATATTGTTTTAACGTTATCTTTGCACCATTTATAGCAATTCTTGTATATTTTTAAATGTTTATACAGTAGTGTACTGTATATTATAATAAACAGAACAGAGGAAATCAGCTCTAATATAAATTATTTATGAATGCATACTAGTCAGAGAGCCTGTTGTAAGTCAGAGTAATCAGGAAACGAGTGTATCACTAAGTGAGGAGAGGCTGTACAATGCCCACGTTGTGTATCTTGTTTACAACTTACATGTTGCATTATACTCAGTAAATTTTGTCTTGTACAATTGTGATTTTGCACCGTCTTTTTTCGTGTTATTGTGAAATTTTCAAGATTTATTTAAATATATCTTTATTGACAGGCAAACAGTTGGGTTCCGGAGCCTTTGGACGTGTTGTGAAGGCAGTGGTAACGGGTCTGGATGTAGATGGTGAGCCAACAACCACAGTAGCAGTGAAGATGTGTAAGAGTCAGGCTGACCCATCCCAGGTTCGAGCCCTGGCCCTTGAGCTCAAGATAATGCTTCACCTTGGCAAGCATCTCAATATTGTTAACCTTATGGGTGCCAACACTGTTAACATTGGGAAAGGTAAGATCCATTCACTGTTGCCTTTTCTGTTAAATTATTAACCCCGAGAATAAGTAGAAGTGTCTGTGGATTTTAAAACCTAAATAAGAAATAACAAAAAAAGGCACAATACCATGACTGGAACGATACACAAATAACCTGCACATGAAGGTGAAACAGGCATGTTTCAGTTTATTTTAATTTTGTTCTAAATAATGAGTTTTAGTATGATATGAAAGAACACATTTTAGATTTTTTATTATTACTGTTATCATAATCATTATTATTATTATCATCATTATTATTATTATACTGTTACATAGATGAAACATGGTACTAATAAATTTGTCCTTTTACTATACATATGTGCCTTCTTAGCACTTGTTGGTTAAGCTGTTCCTCAACCACTTAATAAATCTTCTGCTCTTGTACTTTTTTCTTCATTACTGTCTACAGTGTGCCTTTGTATCACAAATTCATTTATATTTGTCCACAAAATATATCTGATGGCATTTTTAATATAAAATTGATTCAAGGCAAATTCCAAGTACAGTATTTGCATCTTATTGCATGCCTATATTTCAACATACTATAAGAACTAGTGAACATCAGTGATAACAATCCACTTTATATAGATGATAATGACACGTTGTGCAGGCTGTGGTATTTTGTTAGAAGTTTCGTCTGCCATTAACTTTATCAACTCATTGAAAGACAGGTAAAATATGATATTATATAGTGGCTGAGGAGAAGTGTGAGAGGTATAGGGAAGGTTGAACAGGGTCTGCAGCAAGGAAGGTTTAGGCCATCCTGTCACTGGGCAGGTGTCCTAACTCTCAACTTTGCTAATGGTGAAAGACCCTGAGTTTTGTAAAATGGTGTTAGTAGTGGTGATTAAAGCTGATTTCAAACACAGTCTGCCATGTTGGTCTACTTCTTTGATATCTAATCTTGCTTCAGGGAAGATAATAAGGTGCTTACAGGTGTTATGATGTAGTGTGCATGTGTTACTAGTGTCATACCTCTGGAAAGTATATCTCTGTTCCTCATATTTGTGGTTGTGTTCCTGGAAGTTTCCCTCCATATAAGTTTTCTCAAAGCCTCCGTAAAGTATGATGTAGACTCCTGCAGTGGTGCTTCTTGATTTAGTCGCTTTTTATTTTTAACTAAATTCGTGATGGTACTGGAGATTGTGGTTGCGATTCCAGTGTTGGTTTTGGCTAACGTACTGGCTAACTTACTAAGTTACTACTTGCTTGTTTAGTGGTATCTGGTAGTGTAGCTCCATGAAGACTGTAGATGTAGTCACATACAGGGTGACCTGAAAAAACCAACCAACCTGAAAAAGAAACACTCTCGTCATCATTCATGCTTTCACTGTCATGCCAGAGATGCACAGATATGGCAGTTCAGATGACCCTCCAAACATTTTCATTGGTGGGCTTTCAATTAATCCTGAAGTCAAGTTTATCCTCGTTTCTGATTATTCTAATGACTAGAAAGGAATCTGTCATATTCCTTTTCCATGATAAAGCTGATTGAGGATTCCACTGTGTTAAAGTTGCTGAGGTTGACAGTGTTTATGTATCTAGGAGAGACGATCAAAATATTATCACTGTACGTAAGTTATATCATGTCCCTTATGATATGGATCTTGAATCTCTCCTCTGAGTGCTGCTGCATACAAACAGATAAACAGATAAACAGACTACACTTGATGGTTAACCCATGCCATGCCACAGCATTGTTTGACATTTACTCCCTGAAGAAGTAATTGTAGTTGATGCTAAGCTCAGTCACGTCAAGGAGCTTCTTTGCAAGAATAGGAAGGTTGAGACCATCAAGACTTTTATGTTTGAGTTGATCTGTGGCTTGTGTAACAGGTATTGTGCTGATGAATAACATGATCTATGACTTGTGTAATGGGTATTGTGTTGATGAGTGATACCCTCCTGATCTATGACTTGTGTAATGGGTATTGTGTTGATGAGTGATAACCTCCTGATCTATGACTCGTGTAATGGGTATTGTGTTGATGATTGATAATCTTATGTTTTCCCTGCTTCAATGAATTAACCCTTTCAGGGTTGCCAGGCCCTCTCCGAGACTTGTTCTCAGGGTTGCCAGGCCCTCTCCGAGACTTGTTCTCAGGGTTGCCAGGCCCTCTCAGGGTTGCCAAATTTAAAAAAAAAAAAATATTTTTTCTTTTGAAAAGATAGAGAATCTTTTCCTGATCATAATGACACCAAAGGTTTGAAATTTGATGGAAAACTTACGGAATTATGCTCTTGCAAAGTTGGCGGTTTCGACGATGTTTACGCATCAGCGATTTTACCCAGTTTGAGCCCTATTTTCGGCCAATTCCAGTGTACTAGTCGACAAAAATCATAACTGTTTTGCTAGAACTCCATTTTTCTATCAAATGAGTACAAGAAACCATCTATTTACCGATTTCAACTATCCAATAAAGTGGTCAGAATTTAGCAATTTTGCCAATTTCACACAAATTTCAAAAGATGCCAATTTCCGAATAGGGACCAGAATAAACAAGAAAGACATTCCTGGCACTAAAGTAACATTTCCTCTGTTCATTAGTCACGTCCCCATGCCCCTCTTACATTATTTTGCTTTCCACTTTGAATTTTTATTCTCACAAAAAATAGAAGATTCACTGTTAGGCAGACTACTGCATTAGTGTAGAAATGGTATAAATAATATCGGCGCACTTGTGAAAGAATATTAGACTCACCAGTTGACGTGTATTGGACGCATAGCATGATTTGTTTACTTTTGAACTTTGGTAAAAATCGATCATTTCTGCTACTTTGAGCTCAATTTCAAGGTACTTTTCATTGTAAAACCAGTCAAAATCATCTCAATTTCTGTAATATGTCTTCCATTCTATAAAAGGAGACCAGGAAAACTAGAATACAACAATAAATACCATACGAAAGTACAGTGTAAAGTCATTGTTTTAATCCAAAAACACGGTCAAAGTTTTTTTTTTCTCATTACGCACTGTGTGCTGTAGGATTTTTTTATACTGCACACACTGACCACATAGACCCATTCTTTCATATGTAGGCCTACCAGCTTTCTCTCACTAGATTTGAGGGTGCTAGAATTTAGGCGTACTAGTACGTCAAAAACCCTGGTGCGTAAGCCGTATTAGTACGTCCGAAACCCTGAAAGGGTTAATAAAGTCTCTGGCAGATGAAACATCTTCTAATAAAATACTATAACTCACACATTGTTTTATCATTGTCATACTGTTGGTATATATTATCATTTTATACAAGCACATTGTATTAATGAAATTTAAAATTTCAGGAGAGCTGTGGATTCTTGTTGAGTACTGTCACTTTGGTAACCTTCTTGCATTCATGCACCGGCATAGAAAGAATTTCATAAATCAAATCAATCCTGCCACTGACAGAATTGACCCAACACAGTTAGTGATGGACCCTTCTATGTCACTATTGTCACTGGGTCAAAGGTGAGATTATTTCTTGTTTTTTCCAGTATGTGTTATTCAGTGCTATTGTTGTACTTTCCAGGTTGAAACTATTGTTTTGAGTTCTTTCCTGGTTGGAGATCCTCTGCACCTTCTATATATATATCTCCTCTATTAATACCTTTATAAAGAGTGAAGATCCAGGGATCTCTGTCTTAACAGGAAATAATTTGTATACTGTGGATTAGCTCATCATTCTTCCATGTTACTGATGTAATATGTATATGTTACTAAATTGATTCCTTTCCTAAGAATAGAGGAGCACAGTAGTGGGGCTACTGAGCCACGCTAGGCAGGTCTTACACCAAGCCACTTACACCCATGGACAAATGCTGCTATCCAAGCTTCCATCACATTTCCAAACAAAGTCACAACATTCAACATGCACTCTCCATGCTTTAATATAATGGGGATTTTAAGTATAAGCTTAGGATAATGCTGCCCCTCTTTCCCTTCACCCTAGATAAATGCTGCAGCAAGGAGGAGGCTGGAGGGAGTGGAGATGTATCTAAGTGTATTTTTTTTTTTTAACAAGTCGGCTGTCTCCCACCGAGGCAGGGTGACCCAAAAAGAAAGAAAATCCCCAAAAAGAAAATACTTTCATCATTCAACACTTTCACCTCACTCACACATAAATCACTGTTTTTGCAGAGGTACCCAGGATATAACAGTCTAGAAGCATATACGTACAGTAGGGCCCCGCTTTATGGCGTTTCGCTTTACGGTGTTTTGCTTTACGGCATTCCGCTAATACGGTAAATAAATAAATAAACGGTCACCGCGCCCCACCCAGTTTGTTTACATTCTCTGTGAGGTCCAAGTACTAAGTCTCCATTTTGTCTGGAAACTCCTAAATTTCAAGTGTTTTCAAAAGCTATTTCATATTTTATATATACTCTGATAATTATACTTATGTATACCTGTACCTAAATAAACTTACACACTGTGCTGGTATGCAGGTACACATTAAAATCAGTAAGAGTGTCTTATGTCTCCAGACGTCATATTAGTAATGATGATAATAATCATCGAGTCTCATTTAAATTCGTATATTACGTTAATATACACATTTTCATTAATCCATCCATGATATTTTTTTCAGAATTATATAATAAACACCATACATAACATATAAAGATGATAAATACACCCCACAATAGAATAAATAAACATAAATATGAGATGTGGTAGCCAGATAACTTGTACAAGTGATGGCAAGAATAACATTTTCTCTAATCTAACATAAGAGAAAATGTGTTACTGGGGGTAACTGTAGAAAATTATTCCTTTTGTATGTATGTAAGTTTATTCAGGTATACACAAATACAGTTACATAGATTATCATACATAACAACATATGTGTAGAGAACCTAGGATAACCCAAAAAAGTCAGAGTGACTTATTTCCATTGCCTTCCCTCAGAGCGTCATTTCTTCTCAAAATGATGTTACATGAGAATGAGAGTGTTCTTCTTTATTTATTCTACCGTATCAATGTAGAGACAACTTGTACACAATGTAACTTGTACACAAACCAGACGTGTACACTTTGTTGTTTACAAAACTTACCTTCGCCTGGTTTGTTTACATAACTCCACGAGTGTCCTCTCTCATGCACTCATTCTTTCTTCTCTCTCATTTATTCGTTTTATCTCATTTACTTACTCCTGACCCTACATTAAGACTACAAATATTTTAAGGTAAGTAATGAATGAACTGTATATACATTTTATCATTCTAGGATGCTTAAATATCATAGAATAGTATGTGTGGGTGGGTTGGCCTGGTATGGTAGCCCGGCTGACTACCATACAGACCACACTTGATTTTTTACAATAGATACTACTCATCTCACCATAGATTAAGACTATAAATATTTTAAGGTAAGTAATGAGTAAACTATATGCATTTTATCGCTCTGGGATGCTTAAATGTAATAGAATATTATGTGGCCTGGTATGGTAGCCCAGCTGACTACCATACATACCACACTTGATTTCTTACAATAAATACTACTTGTCTCACTCTAGATTAAGACTATAAATATTTTATGGTAAGTAATGAGTGCACTATGTGTGTATTGTACTTTTTTTTGTTTTTTGATGCCTGGTTCTATTGCTAATTTAATATATGTAAGTGTAAACTTGTTATCTAGTGTTTGTATGCATTTATAAGTGGAAAAAAAGGGTGTTCCACTTTACGGCGATTTCCACTTTACGGCTGTAGCCTGGAACCTAACCTGCCATATAAGTGGGGCCCTACTGTATAAAGATACGCAACATATCCTTCCAAACTGCCAATATCCCGAACCCCTCCTTTAGAGTGCAGGCATTGTATTTCCCATTTCCAGGACTATCCACTATAAATAACCGTCCGAATCTCTTCACTAAATATTACCCTGCTCACACTCTAACAGCTTGTCAGGTCCCAAATACCATTCGTCTCCATTCACTTCCTATCGAACACGCTCACGCACACTTGCTGGAAGTCCAAGCCCCTTGCCCACAAAACCTCCTTTACCCCTTCCTTCCAACCTTTTTGAGGACGACCCCTACTCCGGCTTCCTTCCCCTACAGATTTATAAGCTTTCCATGTCATATACTTTGATCCATTCTAAGGGTAATGTGTGGTGTAAATATTATGTAGAGAATTCATGGTGTGCAAATTAAGAGGAGGTGTGTAGTTATAAATACATAGTATTATTCAGAGGGCTGAAGAGGGGATCTTGAGGTGTTTGGTCATTTAGAGAAGCTGGAGCAAAATAGGATGAATTGGATGGTGTATAAGTCTGTAGTGGAGGACAGGAGGGTTCATTCTAGGAAAGGATGGAGGGAGGGGGTAAAAGAGGTTTTGTGTGCAAGGGGCTTGGGCATGCAGCAAGCATGTATGTGTGTTAGGAGTGAATGGAGATAAATGTTTTTTTGGGATCTGACAAGCTGTTGGAGTGTGAACCTGGAGTTTACCTGGAGAGGGTTTTGGGGGTCAGCGCCCTTGCGGCTCAGTCTGAGACCAGGCCTCGTGGTGGATCAGGTGTCAGCATAGTTGCTGATCCCTGTGTTGTATAGCATATTAGTATCATCCATGTGCTTTAGATAGGAGATCCCTTTTAGGCCTGTGACTGTTGTGTGACGTCACGGGATGCGCATGTATACGTTCATACCTCTGCCCCGCTCTCAGTCGGCGTAGACATCCAGGCTAAGACAGGCAGAGGCTGGGCTCCATTTCTCTCATCACAGTCTGACAATATATATCGTTACCATCCAACAAGTGTCTCTACCTTCAACCCTCGATATCTCCATTTAAGAACCCCTACGATAAATGGTGGCAGCGGTGGGATTCGAACCCACGCCTCCGAAGAAACTCACACAAGAAAAATATTCAACTTAACAAACAACACTGAAAATCAAGAGAACTTGTACTTTACTCAAATCTGATTTGCTCAACTTTTACTTTATATTGAATGAATGGCACAGTGAGTTGTCTTTACTTTCAATGCAACAGGGAAACACACAATAAAATGATAAAATGGACTCAATAAAGCTTGAATAAAATAAAATGGCACAGAAAGAATAAAATATTATGCACAGAACAGAGCATATGAAACTGAACTGAAATAAACTGTAGCAATATTGCAAATGACAATTGCTAATCAAAAAGTATTGCACAACACTGCATAAAATCTCTGCAAGAAAAAATTTTAATGGCAACAATATTTGCACAAGAATTATTTAAAAATGAGTCAATGTGCAATAATAAAAAAATTATTACACACACAAGAAAAGAAATATATCAAGGAATGAACTGAGAGAACACTTTAACTCTTAACTGCGCTCAAGCAACACTTAACCCTTTGAGGGTCGACAGGCCCTCTCCGAAACTCGTTCTCAGGGTCGGCCAAATTTAAAAAAAAAAAAATTATTTTCTCTTATGAAAAGATAGAGAATCTTTTCCTGATCATAAAGACACCAAAAGTTTGAAATTTGATAGAAAACTTACGGAATTATGCTCTCGCAAAGTTAGCGGTCTCGGCGATGTTTACGCATCGGCTATTTTGCCCACTTTGAGCCCCATTTTCGGCCAATTTCGCTGTACTAGTCGACAAAAAACATGAATATTTCGCTAGAACTCCATTTTTTCTATCGAATGGGTGCAAGAAACCACCCATTTATGAAATTCAACTATCCAGTACAGTGGTCAGAATTTAGCAATTTTGCCAATTTCACACAAATTTCAAAAGATGCCAATTTCTGAATAGGGTCCAGAATAAACAAGAAAGACATTCCTGGCACTATAATGACATTTCCTCTAGTCATTAGTCACGTCTCAAGGTCCCTCTTATATTCTTTTGCTTTCCATTTTGAATTTTTATTCTCACAAAAAATATAAGATTTACTGTTATGCAGACTACTGTATTAGTGTAAAAAATGGTACAAATATTATTGGTGCACTTGTGAAAGAATATTAGACTCACCAGTTGACGTGTATTGCACGCTTGGCACGATTTGTTTACTTTTGAAGTTTGGTAAAAATCGAACATTTCCGCTACTTTGAGCTCAATTTCAAGGCACCTTTCATTGTAAAACCAGCCAAAATCATCTCAATTTCTGTAATATGTCTTCCATTCTATAAAATGAGACCAAGAAAACTAGAATACAACAATAAATACCATACGAAAATACACTGCAAAGTCGCTGATTTATTCCAAAAAAATGGTCAAAGTTTTTTTTTTCTCATTATGCACTGTGTGCTGCAGGATTTTTTTTAGACTGTGCACACTGACCACATAGACCCATTCTTTCATATGAAGGCCTACCAGCTTTCTCCCACTAGATTTGAGGCCGTTAGAATTTATGCGTACTAGTACGTCAAAAACCCCTACGCGTAAGACGTACTAGTACGACGAAAACCCTCAAAGGGTTAACTAGCAAAAGAACAAATTACTCTAAAAGAAGAACTTAAAAATTGCACTAAGAGTGAATTTGT